TTGTCCATGTATGCTCTCATCGGCCGAGAGGGATTCCTCTTGGCTGCCGAGATCTTTCCGGGACCGACTCGCAACCCCCCCTGGGATTCTTAAAGGATCAACTCCCAAAAACCCCGGGGGGTTTCCTTTTTTTTTATGTTTTTATTATTATTATTGTTATAGGTCTGACTCCCAAATGAGTCAGACCTTTTGGAGCTCCGGCTCCCAAAAAGTTGGGGAAAAGGCAAATTAGGGGGGCCAACATCAAGAGGAATTTCCGCAGCCGGTCCTCAGGACATCCCCAAAATTTGGGAGTCGGAACTCCAAAATTTGGGAGTCGTTTAACTAAGCCCCATATTTTATGTCTTTTTTTGAGTTTTTCAGATTTGGTGCTTTCTGAACTTGCTGTACACCACAAAAAATTGATTAATTTGTTGATCAGAAACACCTTAAAAAAGGCTTGAAATTTCAATCATGAACCCCCCTCCCCCTAGTGTCACATTAGTTCAAACTTGTAGGGGTGAGGATGGGTCGGGTCAGGGCAAAAAAAATGTCAACCTAACCTGCCCCGTAAATTAATGGGGCAGGTCAGGTTGGTTTGCGGTGGCAGAAAAGGCCACCCCACCCTGGGATAAGACCCACTACTTGGGTTGTGGGTCAGGAGCAACCCGTGGGTTGACCCATGGGCCTACCTTTTTTGGGGAAGGGGGGTAGCTTTTTTATCTTCCTTGCATCATGTATCATGTACTTGTAATGATGAGTGAATTCAATATGGAGGGGAGAGAAAGAAACAAAGAATGTTATGGGGCTTGGGCAAGAAAGAAAGAAAAAAAATTGTTGAGAGAGAAAGAAACAAAGAAAAATAACTAGGTCCAGCTATTTGGGTTGCTCATAGACCTCTTTGCCATTGTTCAACAAATCTTGTGTACAAACAAGAGCCGATCAAGGGTGTCCGCATTTAGACTTGCTCGGAAGTCATCAAGCACCCTGCCAGAAGCCAAGAAGGCAGATTCCAAAGCTACAGAAGTAGTAGGAATCATCAATACTGTTTGAGCAAACTGACTCAGGGTGGGGGACTGCCTCAGGTTGAACTTCCACCACTCAAGTATGTCAAAGTGAACTCCTGTTTCAATTTTGACATTGAGTTCTTTGAGGTGAAGATTGAGCTTGCCGGTTGGAGTCCCTGTTGAGCCAACACCTTGGGTTTTGGCAAGGTGTCTCTTGAGATCAATAGTATCCTGGTCTTCAACACAGACAATTTCATTGTATGTAGCCTTCTTCACTCGCCAGGGGTGTTGGTTTTTCTTTCTTTTAAGCAGTAATGTACTTGTTGTACCATGAGAACAAAGCAACTTGGATGTTCTCAATCTTACCGGGGTTGTCTTCTAACTTGAATTCAATGTAAGACATCTTTGATTGAGGGTCAAAGAGAAGCGCAAAGGCGGCAAAGACCCTCATTTCTACCCAGTACTTGTGAAATTCGGCAAGCATTGGGTCAACAATTCTTTGGATGTGACTACTTGTAGATGTTTTTCATTTTAATAAGTGACACTCAATGTTCTTCATTGATTTAAATATCAGTTGAGAGGTTGGATAACATGAAGCCAATAAATCAACAGTAGCTACATATCATTGAGAAGACATGAGTCAAAATCTGAACAAAGAGATCTACCAACTAATGGCAGTCAAAACTTACTCTTGTAGAATAGCTCTAGGGAGTCCTTCATGGCAGATAGCTGTGACCATTATTCAGGACTTGGACAATCTTCATAGTTGGAATCCGTAGAAGCAAGGTTTTCAAATGCCTCTCTGAACGGAAGACTGGATTTAATCCTGAGGAAAGTCAATTTCCAGTGGGTTGCAACATCCTTTGATGGTAGGAAGTTGAAGATGATGCTGGCAGTTTCAATTGCCATCTTGAATAGTTGTACTCAGGATTGACTAATTTTGGTGTACTTCACTGAAAGCCCAACTTTAACAATCAAGTTGATTATATGGGCAGCACAGCAAACATAAAAGAACCACCCATCTGCCTCCAAAGCCTTTGGACTGCAATCAGAGACTATCATTTTGAAACGAGTTACAGCTACATTGTTTGACAAAGTGTTGTCTACTGTAATGAAAGTGCACTTCATTATAGATTTCCATTCAACCAAGCTCTGCAACAGCCGATCGGCAATAGCAGGACCAGTGTGAGGCAAAGGCAATTCTTTTAAGGATATGATGTGTTTGACCAATTTCCAAACTTCATTGATGAAGTGTGTGGTGATGACCATAAATCCAGTAGTGTCTCAAGAGCTCCAGAGATCAGTTGTCAGAGCAAGGTGTGTAGCTTGTAAGATTCCCTTGAGAAGATTGCCTTTCATGGATTGAAAGAGGGCCATGCAATTGTCACATGGGCCTATACAGAATTTCCCCAGAGGGAAATCTTGTAAATTTTAGGGAAATTCTGTAAACATAAGTCTTTCAGCGGTTCAAGTATTTCCACAGATTGGCAGTACCAGAAGTGGGACTCTTACAGTAATTGCAGACCGCTTTCACTTCACCTTCATTGTCCTTCTTACAATCCTTAGTGAAATGCTCCCAGACTTCACTGGTTGATTTTCTTTTGTTTGAGTTGTGGTTTTCATTGGCTCAAGTATTATTGGTGTGTTCAAGTATTATTGGGCTGAAGCTTGGTTAGATTAGGAGGCCATTATGAGATGGATGAAAAAGGGAATGCTATCAACACTAATAAATGGAGTTTGAGCTATGCAAAATTGATATAGATAGAGTGGAAAGCCTAGAGGAGGAGGGAGCACGGGTGACAACTTCCAGGTTGAGTCTACATGGCCACACCCTTCAGTTCAGGCCATAGCACATCAAATCAAATAGGAAGCCGAATACTCGAATTGAATTGATTCAAGTCGAATAATGCCCACCTAAAATTTGGCTTGAATATTTGACTGAAATCGAATAATGGAATAAATTTTCATCAGGGGCCTTCTGGGCCCCGGAGGAGGTTTCATAGAGTGTATATGGGGCAACGGGGACCCTACACACCCCTACCCACCCTATACACAGGCTGCTGATATAGGATATCCCAGATATCCTGCTCCACCTCAGGCATCAGACAACTGCAACCAACTACTAACCTCTGTCCCTGACCATGGCAAGCTCCGGTGATCCCCCGCCCTCAACCAAATCTACTATGGAACCATCCAGGAAAGCAAAATTGGCGGGTGTTAATCAATCAGTGACAGCAAGCTTGTTTTTTGGTCCCCCCCCCAATAAATCTGGCAAACGTGCCTGCTTGATTGACTCCTGTGGCGATACGCTTGTGGTAAACAAGTCAACCAAGAACAACTTTGTGAATCACGTGGCTCGTAAGCATCCCTGTGTGAGAACTCCTTTGGGATGGATGGCAGTCCTGCGAGGGGGAAATAGCAGTTATGATATTTCAGGTATGTATGAATTTATTACAACTGTTACGGGTGGTTTGAAAGACCTGCCCCTCTAATGTACTACACTAGAATTCTGACAACAAATTTATTTTATTTTTGTGGCAAAAACTGTTAATGGAGAAAACTATATGTAGCAGTCTCTTATCAAACCTAGATCAACGTGAAATCAGCTGAGACTTAGTGGAATTTTGAGTGGAAAGGATTTGGTGTGGTTTACAGAAGTCTGGAATCAGATAATGGAAAGATTTGAAAAGCTGGAAAATATTTTTGTATGTTTTTATATGTTTATATGAGTGAAGTAAAGTAAATGTTGATATGAAAAAGACTGAGAGAAAACTGATGATAAAATATGAACAATTCAAAGTGTCCTTGCCCTCCTCCTTAACCTTCAGTTAAGAGAACAAATGGGTTAAGATCACTTTGACTTGTTAAGAGCACAAGGGGTGATACTTGCTACTTGACTTCTTCTATGCTTCCTGAGGTATGAAAGATGTTGATGGGCCACCTGATTGAGATCACACTCTTGGATTTTACCTTAATTTGACTTTGAAGACTCTGAGGGGGATGTGTGTAGCTGCTAGATGTGCCGGATTGGCATGAGGAACTGATCTGAGGAGGGAGAAATGACCTCCTTATATAGTAAATTGTGAGGGATTTTAGCTAGTGAGGATGTCCTGTGAGGGATTTATGCTGGTGTGACTTCTTCTTTGAGGGATTTTAGCTGCTTGGAAGCTTCTATTGAGCCATTTTTGCTGGTGTGTCATGTGATCTGCACTGCCCCATACAGAAAATCACACATGTTGCGGAATGTTCTTCCTATGTTGAGGCATTTTTGCTGGTCTGTTGTGAAAATATGTGTGATCCAAGGGTGTGGCTGGTGATGTCATGTGAAAATACGTGTGATCCAAGCATGTGACTAAACATGTGATCCCTGTACAAACAAAGATTGCAACTATGCACTTATATATAAATCTATACTATGTACTACCCAAGACAACTATACTATACTGTAGTAAAAAACTGATTTATCAAATAACTGTTGACTGAGTGGAGCTAGCCTAGTGGTTCCAGTGAGTGACTATAGGTTAAATGACCTGTAGAGTCTAATGAAGTAATAATAACACCAAGAATCTAGCCTATAATCAAGAGTGGATCATGACTTTATGCAATTTGGTACTTGAAACACATTTGGCACACTACACCGTTGTGGTAGTTATTCCTGTGTTTCTACGCCAAAAATATAAAAATTTATTATTATCTCTCTGAATATTGAGTATATGGTAAAAATAACATCAAAAATGGATTTCTGAGATAAAATAACCCCTACTCACTCACTACAACTACCCTCTTATCTCTACTAGTTCAGAAGTTACACTTATCTCAAGCTGTCACAGGAGCTTTTCTTTATTATTATCCTGACCACGTCTCATTTTGAATACTGGATGCATATTCATATTGAATTCCTTTGTTTCATATTGAATTCCTTCACTGGCTTATATTTCATATTGAATTCCTTTGTAGGTGCACATGCATTCCTTTGTAGTAGGACCTTGTAGGCTAGCCAAAATCCCTCAAGGCAGTGCTCTCACCAGCCACATTCCCTCACCTGCATGTACTAGACTATCTAAATTGCCTCATTGGATTTTCAGGCCAGCTAAATTCCCTCACCTTCATGTACCCTGGAGCTAAAATCCCTCACTTTTGTCTATACAAGGAGGCCTCTGCCTTCCAGTTGTACCTTTCATCATCCCACCAGTGGACCAGATCATCTCAACCACCCTTACAATTACCACCCATTATATTACAAGTCACAGTTATATAACCACCCTTATTTTATCGCAATATATTCATAACACTTTCATATCATCATCATCATACCAAGTGCCCAGCCCCCTGTTCCATTCCTGGTTGAAGTGTAGTGCTCCCAGCACCTGCACCTTGGTCTTTAATTCACCTCTTTTTAACTTTATATACCATCAACCTCGAGGTTGCTGTGAAACCTCGCCACACACAGGTTTTACAAACATCAAGCTTACATAATCTTCAAATAATAAAATCCTTTCAGCTCCCCTTGTCCTAGCTCGGTAGAGAAATATTGTCTTCTATCCTACCGAGCTAGGTGAGTTTAACTTTTATGCTTTATTGTTCTTCTTTAATTCTTTTCTGATCATTCTATGTGTTGTTGAGTTGTACTGAGAGAAATATTGTCTTCTATCCTACCGAGCTAGACTATTGAAAAGTAAAGATATACATTGGTTCCAGAAAACGTTCTCTCCCGGCTACATTGCCAGTCTCGACGCTTATAAGCTACAATAGTGAAGAGTCATGATGCGACTCTTACACTTTTTTTTTCTCAAACCTGCTTACTGGTACTTGTGACAAATTGATGACAACTTGGTCCAATCCAGAACCGCTACTCCCTCTAACTGACCCCAAGGCCATCTTAAAAGAAGGGCAATGCCAAGCAAGATTGGAAAAGGCTCTTAAACAAAAAACTCACGCAACTGGGACAAACATCGGCAATCTACCAGCTCTCCCCCCCTCGCCAACAATGTCGGAAGCCCTTGAATCATCAAACAACAGGAAGACGATGTGGAACTTTTCAAGCTAAAGAAAAGAGCTTAGAGGGGAAAAGAACAACTACACAGGGGAAAATGTGAGTTGAAGACTTGGATGCTGATGAAGCTGCCCTCTTGTCAAGGCTTGGGAGAGAGTTACACTAAGAATTAAAGAAAAGGTGCGGCTATTTCTGTGGGTAATCTTAGTATGAGATTTATTACTGATGTCTTGTACAAGTCACCTGCTGAGAGATTGAGGATGTGGGGATTCTGGTAGGAATGAGGCTCTGGGGGTATTGGTTTCTGGGTTCAATTTCTTATCTTCTGGGGGAAAATCAATAATAATTACTTCTGGTAACTACTAGAAAGTGATGTCTGCTAAGTAATTATCTGTTTACTTCTCTAATGCAAGCATGGGGAACCAAGTAAGTGGGGAAGAGTCTTCTCTATATACATGTGGGTGGTTCTGATCAGGTACTAGTGGTAGAAAATATCAGCTGATGTAAGAAGATGGTATGAAATAAGTTGTATCTGAAAGACAATTGGTTATGAAATAAATGTGGCTGACAAATGCGTAGTGTGAAATAAACATGTTGAAAAGGAAAAAATATGAAGTAACTTCTGTTTGTGATAAAAAAATAATATGTAGTGCAAAAAGAAATGAGATAATCAAAGACTGAAATAAATATTCTGAGGTGAGATGAGAAATCTGTGTGGTGAAATATGTATGTAGGTGATATAAGCAATGAGTAATGAGTTGAAATGAGATGTATGATGAGAATGTAGGTGATATAAGCCATGTGTATTGAGTTTTGAAATGGAATGTAAGAATGAAATACTTGTAGTATGAAATAAATGTAGAATAAAATAAATGTAGAATGAAGTAATTGATGTATGAAAAGAAGTGGATGATGAGTGAGATGAGATGACAATATCTGGATGAGAAATCAGATGTATGGGATGAAACAGTATATGTAGTCTGAATAAGTGATATCTGAGATGAAATAAATAACATTTACTGAAAGATTATTATCATAGGAAGACTAATTTGTATCTTGAGATGTGTGATATGTAGTATGTTGTAGCTATGAAGTACTATATATTATGTAACCAAACTATGTAAAAAAATACTGTTTTGTAACTTTCTGAACTGGGTACAAGATAATGGGTTATGTAGCATATGCATATCTGGTTGTAATAACATGAAAACTACTGTAAATAGCTATTTTGTACTATATATGACCTTGATTGGTCTCACCACAACAACCACTCCATTGACAATGGATGAATATCTGAAAGGACTGATGAAACTTCAACATGAAAGCATTGATCAGGCTAACATTGATTGGAGTGCCGCCCTAGAAAGTTTGAAGTATGAGCGGGAGCTCCGTCAAGCCGATGCGGATTGGATCGCGAGATTAGAAGAAGCGGTCCTCAAAATGACAATTAAGCCGGACCCGGGAACACTCTCCAATCAGGTTGAAAGGGGCCGCATTGATCTACAGAGGTTTTGATTGTCAGATGGACCCATTTTCTCCGGTCTGTTTCAAGATGTTGAACGCTTCATCACTTGGATTCAAAGCGTTCAAATTTGTTTTGCTACAAAGGGCGTTAAGCACGACGATAACAAGATACAGGACATTGGCAGCCTCATTAGGGAGACCAACACGATTGCCTTCTACGCGAGTGGATTCAAAGGGTTTCTTGGGAAGTCGTGGTCCGAGTTCAGGACTAAGCTCATCACATTTGCACTCCCGCCAAACTGGTGTACGACGTTGAAGGGGAAATTCAAGAATCTCTGAATGGCGAATTCGGAGTCATTCCTCACATACAGCACACAATCCCGCACGCTTCCAAGCATACTAAATTTTGACCTCAAAACGGAGGGGATATTGGATTTCGATTTGTCAGAATTGATGACGCTAGGGTCAAATGATTATCTCCAATCAGAGATACACAACCATCAACTCCTATTGAAAGACCCATTTGATTTTGGCTGGTTTGAGAACAGAGCAAGTGGATTCTGGGATGGAATTTTCAAGTGATCCACATTGGGAGCAAAAACAAGATTCAACTCCACACCGGCGGTATCAACAAGTAACCCACAGTCACCGCAATTATCCAAGGAGGAACTTGTCTGGCGAATTCACTTGTTCTTGGATTCTCAAGGGAAGTGCCACTTCTGCAAGAAGCAGTGTGGTAGCGTTTCAGGTAAGTGTGCCGGCCCAATCGACAAGTCTCTGGTTGAGATTCCCACGGCGTTTGTCGTTCCACCAAAGCTGAAGGATTATCAGCCACCCAGGGCAATTGGACAGACGACCATGTCGGCGGGGAAGCCAATTCTTCCACCAGCGGGACGACTGTCCAATCGATCAGCATTGGTGGCTGAGGTCAGTGAACACAACTTTTTCCCTGACCTGGATGTGGCATCCGTCTTGGTGTTTGCAGCTATTGATGAGGAGCTTTGCGAGACGACAGAAGATAGGTTAGTGCCATCTAACGTGCCCAGGCGACTCATAATTTGTTTTAAGTTTGGGGATCGCTACTTACTTGGCCTGATTGATACAGGGGCCGAGATCAATCTAGTTAATGATCAAACGGTGAAAGACATAGGGCTCCCCATGTTGAACCTAGTGAACCCTACTCGAGTCACGTTAGCGCTGAATGACAAATCGCGGACCCCATTAATTCTCAAACATTTTACAAGGGTTACGTTGGAGGACACACAATCAGGATTAAGTTTTGATAATGTTGAACTCAGCCTGGGACCGGTGGCGGGAAACTACGACATGATCCTGGGGATTCCCTTTTTATCTCATTTCCATCTTTCTGTTTCTATCTCACAACATAGTTTAATATGCAACAGGTCAGGTTGATGTGTAGTAGATTACGGGGCTGCTGAATCTTGTCCCTTCCGGTGCTCTTCTTTCGGGGGGCCTCGAGACCGAGTTGAGGAGGCGACAAAAAATCTCCTCTTCCATGGAATTGATGAGGTAGTTGTCCAGGCGATTACACATTCTAGGAGATCCACCACAGACGAGTTCCTGAGATACAGAGTCCAAGCTACAGAGGCACACGGGGGTACAGGCAAGAGCTGGCAACCCTGATTATCTCCCGCGGCTTTGCCTAACCAGCCGGTACCAACCAACGGGGGGGGGGGGTTCACTCTGTAGATTAGTAATAGAGCCTCCCAGGGCTTGTTGCTTAGCTAGAGATTTACATCAACAGGGGTGGATTCTCTGAGTCAAGTTGATCCTGTTGTAATCTGGACTGGTGTGGTTGCAAGGCTGGACTAAGTGCCTTAACCCACCCTAAGTTAACACCTGATGGGGATGCTCTTATGTAGTTGCTAGGTCACGCACTCTGTGCCTAACTCCTCTTTGTTTGGGAAACCAAAGATCTTGTTGAGATACCTGTATGTAGTGAGGTATGCTTCTACTAAGCACGTCATCTCCACTAGAGTGCCGGTTTCTTTCTCTTCTCCCCTCCTCATCAAAATCTGACCAAATTTCTCACTCAGTCAACCTCACAGTCAGTTTGGTTGTCATCTCTTTGTTTCGATCACCTGGGTTCCCCTCAACAGATCTTAGGTTCTTGACATCTTTTGTCGGACATCATTTGGGACCTCAGTTCAACGGCATCCCATTTGTTTTGAGAATACAAGCAATTAAGATAGCTGCAAATACAGTTGCTAGGTCCCGTTAGCCCACCCTCAGAGTCAGGATTCCAGTAATGCACGCAATCAAAAGCAGTATTGTCAGACTTAACTAGCTCGAAGCAATCCATGAACACATAAAAACTACATATTTATGCATCCCAGAACTTATATACACCATCCCGCAGTGAGAGGTGAATCATGCAAAACGTGTAGCTTTGAGAGCAGCTCCAGAGCTCCATCTGAAACTGCTTGCAAGCATAAAAAAAAAACAAGGTTAGTTTGAGTTGCACCGGCCGAAAAAGCAGGGATTGGATTCAGCCAAGCATGGCCAAGTTTTCCAGTGAGATTGAGATAAGTCTCAAGAGAGCGCGGGCGGGCCGAGCGAGGTATTCAAACAGCGGAATGTCTGCACTAGGTGCCCTTTTTGTTACATCACTCTTGGGTGCCGAAAATCATTCATACGTTAAGAAGAAATAATGGGAGTCCAGTGGTTCGGATCGGGAAGTCAAGCTGCGAAAAGGACTGCTAATAAATGATGAGAGCCTTGTCAGCACTGACCCAAAAAAGCTCGTGTCAGATCTTTTTCATCATGTTCAAGATCCATGAGAAGATCGAGGCCCACATCCCAACTTGCGAGCTGGCTGGCATGTAGAGGAGGACTCGGACTCCTCCTCTACATGCCAGCTCGAGCTTAACAAAGCCTCTCCAAGGGAGGCGCGAAGCGTCTCCTTAGGTCCCTCCTTCGGAGGTCGCTGCCGCGACCTCCTCGGAGGGACCTTGTGTTAAGTTCGATGCCAGCTCCGGATTCCTAGCCGCCCAACGGTTCACACTTTGCATCGGCAATCCATTCGGCCGGCACTTCATTTGACAGCCTGATGATTCGGCTAGTTGATAGCCACAAAAAGCCACTGTTAAAACAATTGCCACCAACACGCCTCAAACAAACTGAACACGAACATCGAGGGCAGACATGGACGCTCTCACCTGTCATTGGGAGTCGAACCCAAGTTACCAGGACGTCCGATGGACGAAACTAGATCGATCAAAACCTGGTGTCCTAACCACTAGACGATGACAGGATGTATGCGTAGAGCCAAACACCAGGTTGTGAATCGAAGGAACCAAAACCACAAGACGAGCAATCAAAAGAAAGGCTTTCTCCTACATAAATTTGTATGTATTCCAGCTCCTCACATTTAGAATTGGCTACCGGTTGTACAAGTTACGAAACAAAGCTGCACAAGCCAGACACCACCACCGGGTGGCTAAACTTAACTAACTCCCTTCCCTTCTTCCGGATCGGAGTGGTAAACCACTTGTTGCATTGCGCCGACCGGCGGGAGGAGGGTCCCTGCGGGACAGCGTCCCCCCTACAATAGGGGGACTTGGTCAAGATAGACTGGGTGGGACCACTTAATTATTGATTTGATGATTGATCCTGCCTCTGGTTCACAAAACCTCACCACCAAGTCGTTGTCTTCCACCTTCTCTTTCCTGACCTCGACACTGACCAATGACCCCATAAGTCCCAACTCATTTGTTTGGTTGGTTGTTTGTTTGTTTATTGTTCCCTCATGTATTTCGATCTACAAAAGAAAATGTCGAGAACTGTTCATTCTTTTTTTTTTTGATCTGGGATTACACTATGTATGTAGAATAAAATTAAGATTTTGTACTTGTCACTTCTCGGTCTAGAAAAGAAAAGAAAAAGAAGAAGACGAAAAAAAAAAAATGTTCAACAATAATAATAATGGGATAATAATAATAATAACAATGATCTTGATCAGTATTTCTCTATCTATCTGTCTATCTATTGGTCAATCTATCGTATTTCTCTCGGTTCTGAACGTTTTGATGTAAACATATATATATATATGTATATACATCACACTTTTTTTTGATAAAAGAAATGAAAAGAATGAATTTTTGGCTGTTTTTTTGACACAAAAAAAGACTCGAAGGAAGGAATGTACACAAGCCATATCTTATGTGTGTTATGTGTGTAAGAGAGATACGGAAAACATAACTCTGATGATGTCATATGTAACCAAACAACTAAAAGCGAACAAAGAGGATAAAAAAAGAAGTCAAATGGAAAACGGAAAGAGAGAGAGAGAGAGAGGAAGAGAGGAAGAAAGAAGGATGAATGAAAAGGGATAAGAGGAGGAAGAAAAAAAAGGACTCAGAAAGTATAAAGAGAAGGAAATCAAACGAATATGTAATAAGGAACGAGAACCATGTCGAAGAGACGAGAGAGAGAAAGAGAGAACCGATCAATCGAGTTGGTTTTCATAAAGAAGAGGTTGGAAGAGAATGATTGAGTTGAGTAGGAGGAAGGTTAGAATGATTAAGGTTAGGATTAGTAGTAGTAGTGGAAGTAGAAGAAGAAGAGGTATTTGTATTTATATTCGAATTCGTAGTAGTAGTAGTAACAGGATTAGTCGTAGTAGAAGTAGTAGTAGGATGAGAATGGGAGAGAAAAGGGAGAGAAGACGAGAGTGAATAAATCGCAAATGAGTTCCCGATACGTTCGGACCAGATGACGGAATTTCGAGAGACACTAGAGGCCAAGAAGACCACTTCACGATCGACAGGAGGGATGAGGATGGACGAAGAGTTTCCAGAAAGACCGCTCCCTCCTCCTGTTCCGGGCGAGGAGGAAGAAGGATTGCTGGGCTGGTTGGGCGCGGCTAGGGAGCCAGCGAAGGAGCTCCCCCCGCTGTTGTGATTGTTGTGGTTGGAATGAGAGGAGGAGTCGCTCCATTTACTAAGGCCGATGGTCAGGTTGGTCAAGCTGCTCAAGTTCAACGTCGAATGGTGATGAGGGTGGTGATCGCGGAAGCTGTGACTGGAGGGGAAACTCTGAGCGGTGATCACCCCTACGCCGTTTCCGCCACCGACGCCGGTCGGCAGACTCGTCGGGCCGTTAGGGGACCCGCCGAGGATGAGATGGGGGAGGATGTCGAGGGTGGCAGAGTTGCTGAACTCCTCGAGACCCTTCGCCTGCCGACCTCCGACCTCGAAGAGCTTGACCTCTTGATGGTCCAGTCCCACAAGCACCGTCCGACGCTCGTCAATCAGCACCACCTCGATCCGGAACCCCGTCGGATGCTGCCCGTTCTCAGCTGCGCTCCCGCTCGGCTTCGAGTGTTTGTCGTTCATCCAGATAAACGGCTTCTTCATCACACTCCGCCCATCACAGTCCACAATCGACGTCACCTTCTTCCCCCTAGTGACCAGGAACAGACCCGGCGGACCGATCTGTCGACTCGCTGGATTTGATAACAGGCTGATCGGCGATAGTAACGGGCCATCGGCCAGGATCGTCTGTGGGTTCGGACTGGCAACTGGCACTTGTCTTCCACTTTCAACAGTCACTGTCGCATCCCCACTATCCGAGTATTCCATCTCTGCTTCCGAGCCATCGCTGGCATTAATCTTGCTGGCTCCAACTGAGCCGCCGGAGTTTGCGATGCTCGACCCGGCTTCGGATCCAGCCTCACCAAGAACGCTACTACTGCCGTTATTGATACTGAGTTGATCAACGGCAAGATTCAATGGAATCGTTAAGTTTTCTGATTCGGGTTCGACGACGTTGATGGGTGATAGGGTCCTAGCCGGGTCCTCATCCGGGGGTACGAGTGAGTTTTGCACCGCCCTTGGTCCCCCACTGGCCGTGACGACAGCCTCGTAAGTAGGCGGGATAACAAAGGTTGAAGCAAGGACCGAGGGCGGCAAGGGTGGAATGAATTGGAGCTGTTGGAAGGTGGTGTATGGCCACAAGTTGGGTACTTTGGCTGCACCGGGATGGTTTCCACCACTTGCCACTGGGCTGTCATGTGAGCCCCAGCCACTAGCAATACTCGTGGTGTTGGCCGCGGAAGCTTGTCGAAAGGAGGACGACGGGACAGGTGCAGACAGCGTGAGACCGTCATCCACTGTTGATGGGGATGCGGATATGGTGCTTCGTGCAGGTGCTCCGACTGCTTCCATTAAGGATTCTGTCGGATCGTTCATAAATCGTCGACTCTGATGGGCCACAGCCGAGCTATTAGATCCCGTGGCGGTCACGGCTGGGCGCATGTTGATGGATGCTAGATCACGCGCCGCACGTTCTCGCTCTCTCCTTGCTGCCCGACGTTCATTTCTTCCAATCCCGACTTCTCGAACACGAACCGTAGCTGGCTCCAGAGCAAACACACTCTCATCATACACCAAATACTAAACAAAGTGCTAGCTTCAGTTTCAAATGATCTGGAATGGATATTTAGCGCGATTTGAAATCAATGCGCTCACAATGTCAACCAAGTCATCTCCTTGCATCTGGAATTCAATCCTACAAATAAAAACAGGGTCAAACCTTTTGCTAACTAATGATAGTTCTGATGATGTTGATGATGGCTCACGTTCTTGGTGTCTCAGGTAGAACAAAGGTTCGATTGAGAGACAAAGAGATATTTTTAGAACCCTGGATAATAGCCACCCAAAAGTGAAGATGGAAACAAATCAGGTTCAGGCTAGACTGAACATGGATTGAAAAATAAAAAATGCACGAACGGTAAACAGTTCAATCCTTTCACTAGATTCCCCACAAAGCACCGCCAAATACCTAGATGATTAATGAGAAAGAAAGAGAGAAAGGATTTCAACACACTCAGACTGCTACTAAAACAAAGATCAACAGGGGAAACCACGAACGTCCTGCGTCTAGTCTCATAGGCCCTCAACAACTTAGCGCCTTTGGTTCTAGCCAATTTGACGTATTCAAGGGGGGCGCCGAGCGTGGCAGGGTGGGGAGAAGTCTTGGCGGTTTCGCTGGAATTCGGGCCGTGGAAATGGGTCGCCAATCGTTCTCGAGGTTGATCTTCGAACTCACCCC